AACAACTGTTGACTCTATTGTGAACTAAAATAAAAACAATAAACTCAAGAATTTTTTTGAAGCAAAAACTGCATTTAAATTTATTTTAAGCATTGAATGTATAAATTGCAATGATTTTATTTATTATTCAAATTCAATAAATTTGCTAGTTTAAGGTCACAGTAAACCAAATCCCATTGTCTTAATGGCGAGTAAACTACATTTGAGTCAAAAATAAATCAGATGACATGGCTGTCACGCAAAAGACAGTCAGTAATTGTGTCTAACTTTTTGCCTCCAAAAATATAAGTTAATTATAAATATCTAACGAGTTTTTATTATAACAATTCATGTGATATCGCTTATCGCTATTCACTATAACTTATTAATAACACTATTTTTATAGTTCACTACATTATCGTCACTTGAAAAATGGATTCAAAATACACAACAATTTTAATTAAATTATTACGAGAATAAAGATAAATAAATATAACACACAATAAATATTCTGTAGGTTTGGAGAGCGAAAAACCTCTCATTTCACAACAACTACTGTTCAGACATTTGCTCAAAACTTGAGATTTGAAATATTAAATTGATTTTCAAGTGTTACTGTATATACTCTGCCAGCAATTGAATGACAAATAATGTGTAAGAATATAATGGCTTACAATAGGGGTCTTCGGATATTCCATAGTAAGCACTGACACAGTCTTGGAAATACAGTTTAGGCGTATGTGTGGGCGTGAGTACCGGTGCGCTATGGGTTTGACTGATTTGCGGATAATTAGCGCGAGAATGGGAGGCCTGTTCTCCAGTCGAGAACCGGTAACTGACGGGAAAGGGATGACAACTCTTAGTGTTTTTACGTTTCGATGAGTTCGTCGGTCTTCGGAAGTGAAAACTTCTCTGAGGCTGAAGTGCGGCCACTGTTTGGCTCTTATTTGCATCGCTTCTGGGACTGTAATGACTGAAACTACTAGTATAGGGAGGAGTGGACGGGCTTTTGCTCATTGTTTGCCAACTGATGTCTAATTAATAATTTTGTCACTCAATTAGATTTTTAGATATTTTTTGCGCTCTTTAACTCTCAAACATTTGTTTAAATAATAAACGAGTCGAGTGTTTGAGAGAAAAATCATTTACATTATGCACTCAATCTACTAGTTTGGCACAAAAAAACAAGTCAAACAGAGTTAACATCGAAAACACTTTAAATCAGAGAAATGCATTGAGAGAGTGGTGTAGGCTTTAGGAGGCATTGGAATCACATTTTGATTAATTTTCGCTCACATTTGCATCCATTCAATGAGTGGTCTATTTATTATGGCAAACAGCGAAAGACCAGTATATGAGAGGCAAACTTCAACACAAATATTTGTGCAAAAAAATATATATTCACTGAGATTTTGGGAGACAGTTGTGAGAAAACTGATTGCACTTTTAAAAACTGGTGCCACACATGTGAGGTGGGGATCGGGATATACGAGTAGTGATGCTAAAGGATGTGGTGTTCAGTCAGTCTATGAGACAAATGTTTTCGTCAGAGAGAAAGTCAGAGAGACTGCGAAATAACACGACTTCTCTCTCTCTCTCTCTCTCTCTCTCTCTCTCTCTCTCTCTCTNCTCTCTCTCTCTCTCTCTCTCTCTCTCTCTCTCTCTCTCTCTCTCTCTCTCTCTCTCTCTCTCTCTCTCCCCGATGTTCACATTTGTCTCACTTTTATCCCGATTTCTATTTCTGAACTCTTCTGCTCATCACAACTCGTATGTAAGAGTTGGCAATCATTACAAGGATTGTAATAATAATAATAATAATAAATAATATTGTTTTCGTTGGACTCGGATTTTGTTTCACAAATATTGAAACACTACATACAGTACAACACACAGACTCCGACACCGCAAATGAATTACATATTTATTGATATATTATATAAGAATCTGAGAACAAAACATAAGTTATACGAGAATAATAAGCAAATCTTGTATTCACTCAACACATTGCAATGCTTATGACTCAACCATCGCTTGTATACCCTTTTTCTTAAAGCCTATAATCAAATGCATTATTCATCACTTGCTTAAAATCATTGTTGCATTCATTATACAAAACTCCACAATAAATTTCATCCAAAAATTTTCACTTCTAATCAAATAAATCAGAAATATTTCTCAGATTCTTGACTTAAACATGATTTAGACTACGAGTCAAATGGATATACAATTTCCATGAGTTAAATAAGTTTGAGGATAAATATGCAAAATAGTCTACACGTTTCACATAGCATTGCATAGAGTATAACAATTGCCAACATTTAGCACATAGTATTAGTCATCTAATCAGACAATGCTTTCTCGGTCTAAATACTGATAGTCTGGCAAAATATTGACACATAAACCCAACATTAGCCAAATGAATTCATATATCGATTCACTTACCCCTGAATTCCTTGATTTTGCACTGAATCTGATCGGACTGTGAGTCTGAATCGGTTTGACTGGACTGTCGCTCACTATCCTCTGAATCCATTTCAATGCAATTGACTCTCATTTTCAGAGGAAAAAAGTATTGCAAAACTCGACTTCACTTTTGCATTATTTACGATATAATCCAATGAAAAAAGGTCTCAAACTCAGTGTTCATAAGAGTGAAACCAAGCGTTAACTGAACGCCAAACTCATTATTATTATGATGTGTTGTTTAAAGTGCAGACCATATGAATGAATGAGAATATATTCCGCGAGTGTATTGTGTGTAGAGCACAGAGTCTACGACAATGAGCCCTACATTCGCCGCTTAATTAGTTATGATTTCCAGCCAATTGTGTGACTCTTAGGACTCGCACACACACACAGACACACCGATTGTCAACACTATTACACTATATATTTGCTAATCAAACATAAATATAATTATTTTGAAGCACTACATGACAACTGTGTGCACATAAGTTAGGCCTCAGCCATGCCATCGACACACACGGCATGTGATGTGACTGCGGTTTTCAGTGCCATATCATTATCACAAACTAATGCCAGTCTAGCGGCTGAGGTCCCAATGGATGTGTCTATGAATGCAACCAAATATCTTCTCTCTCTTTACTACTACTGAGGGGTTGAGGAGGTTTTGCACAGCACTTGAACGAACTACAGACTCGTGTGAGAGTTGGGATTCCGTTTTTTAGGCTCCACTTCCACTCTCCAAGTTATTTGAGTAGTAAAACATTTTCTCCAAAACTTTAGTCTAACTGATCAAAGATTATTCAGTGCTTTACATAACTTTAGAAATAATACTTCAAAGCTATTACTAAATTTAGAAAAAATACTTTTCTTACTATTACTTCTATAAAATATAGATTTAATTCCTATTAGTTTTTATTTTATTCAGACTTGTTTTGCTTATAATATACAGAATTTAAGACTCAACTCATTGGGTTTTCATGTAAAATAAACACAAGAATATCAATATAAAGAAATCTTAATATCATTAACAGGGTATATCTACTAGTCATACAGTTTCTGTATTCTACTTTCTTTTAAGTAAAAACATATTAAATGATATATTTTGTGACAAATTTTTTATTTGCTTTAATCCCTCATCCATTAGACCGATAATTTGTTATCCTTTTAATGCACCGGCAGTTGAAGTAAATGTTGAGTTTTATACAAACAAATAGTAAATAGTTTTTGAAATTAAATATTTTGTTATTTATTAAAAATACTTAAGTCTACGAAACAGCTTATGAAAAGCAAACGCATGAATCGACGGCTCAGTTCAACAACACTTTAATTGGATTCATATTTATTTCATTAAAACTTGAGTTATGTTTCATATGTTGAATACGATAACAAACTTATCAACGAATAGACACAACAATCCCTGTGTTTCAAGTCATACAACTGTCGGCATATAATCGGAAACATTAAATGTGAGGAAAAACATCTTAAGGATTCATTTCAAACTTTTTTGGTTTGACTCGTAATTGCATTATAAGATGCAAAACATTTCTCAAATCATATTTTCTATGCTAATTAAAAGTATTCACTTTCACATTAAATCCATTACTAAGTCTAAACTTCTACTTGAAGTACTACTTGGGGTTTATTTTATGATTCAATTAATAATTTAATTAGTGTCTTAAATTGATTTTTAGTCACATAAAAAATTAACACAAATCTTGCTATTAATTAAATGTCACAAAGAAAACGAAAAATTAATTTACTTTACAGCGCCATAGACATTAACAGTCAATGAGTTTCTTAGTGATACTCTCTTGAAACTTGAGTACAAAAAATTTATGACACTTTTTATGTGATGAACAGATTAAGAGATTAGTGCTTTTCCCTTAATCGGTTTACAAACTTAATCCCTGATGTGCTGTAAGTAATAAATTTATCTATTTATGCAATCTTTCACAATACAGACTCCACTTCGCGAGTGTATTGTATTAAATATTTATATTCAATGAAAATAAGTTATTACAGAATTGAAATGATTTAAAAACAAGAATTTATGGCTTTATATCTGCAGTGACAGCAAAATCGATAACATTTTACTACTTAATATGCCCTCCGCTGTAGCATATTGTAAGTTTTTGTACAGTATTATCGGTATACTGGCATCAGTTAACCGTAAGAACTATTTTTAGTTCAAGTATCCAAAGATTGAGAGATGATTATAATATATTATATATTGTATACAACTTTACGATAGCATTATTTGCTTATAATAAACGGTACAAATTGAAAACTGAATAATTGTTTGTATTTTTAATTCACAAATAATCAATCAATAGATAACATAGAGCTGAAAGTGAGCCCAAAAACAAAATTTATTTATCACAATGAAAGTCATTTTATAGACAAACGATTTTGTAGTTAACTTGGAGTCTAGAATTCAAACTAAAAAATAATTAAATATATTAAGACCTAAAGCGGTGCAGAATAAACAAGTAATTTTAAAAACTAAACTTAAATACAATAATTAATAATAAATATATTGTTATTACAGAATACATGCTCCATATTATATACTATATTTATAATATACTTTAAAATGTATTTATAGATTAAATATTTTTAATTTATGTATAGATTTTGTGTATTTTGAAAATATTAACTATAGTTTTGTGGCGATTACCCAACGCTTCCGATAAATTGTTTTCATCCAAAAAATTTAAATATGATTTTCTTAACAGTTTTTCTTTTGTTAAAATATATAATCCAATGATTTGTTTACAATTTAGAGGCACTTCTGGAATGTGTGAATCAATCCTCGATTCATACGATAGGAATAGAGTCGAGAAAATCGATTTCAACTATTTTATCGATGAAAGCGAGCGCCGCATCCATGGATGTGCTCGTCATTGATGTGTCTTTCGATGAATGGCTTTGATTTGACGATTGACTCGTTTGTAGACTTGATTTGAGTAATGTATGGAAAAATGGGTGCAATTCTGATAAACTCTTAATCGATGTCTTCGTAATGAGAGGGTATTTGGCTCTATAGGGAAGTGCTTCCACTTCTTGGTTCTGTTCCAGAGGTCACATAATAAACACATTATAAGAATTATCTATAAACACAATCCAAACAATCATTATTACCTTAGAATTCATCAGATTATTGATGCGGACGACGTGTGGCTCAAAGGGCGGGTACGTGGGGTTGTTGTTGGGGTTCGGGTGAAGGGAACTGCGGTTCACTCCGTTGGACATAGAGTTGGGGTCTTTGATGCCGCCGACGAACGCCCACCGATACATCTGGAACTGCGGCAGTGAGTCGGCCGGCATCGCAATGGCGATGTCTAACAGCTTACAGGCCGCCAGATATAGTTGTAACCATTGAGGGTTGTTATGCGCGGCCAACCCATTGCTCTGACTGGTCACCCAACTCGAGTCCAGGTTAGACAAGCGCTGAATGTGGGAACTGTATGATTGGAAATAGCATTACAAATATGAGA